CGTATCATATTCAATTCATTCATAATATAATCACTTTCATTAAACGCATTTAGCTGATGAATTCGGCTAGTTTCCAATTTATGAATTGTACATGTCAATTTGTTCTATCACCTTCTCAATTTTTGTCAAGTTGATCCAATCAAAAATGACAATTTAAATTTACTAACGGAGATATTCACATGACCACAGTTGAGGGGTAACTTTGATCCCTCAAATTTGTAATTTCTATCATTTTGGTCTTTCAAGTTTATAAGTTGTGTCATTTTATCCCTCAAAGTTTCCTAAGAATGTACCACATGTATGATCATGTGAGATGCACGTGACGATCTCCGTTAGTAAATTTCAATTTTTATTTTTAGTTGGACCAAAGTGACACAAATTAAAAAATTAATAGACCAAATTGATGCAATTAAAAGATTGGAGACCAAACTGACATAAAAAGTATAATTTAAAGACCAAAAATGTAATCACTTTATACTTTTAAAGAATAATTTTTTATACTATACCATCCCTATAATAAAAGTGTTTTTAATGTAACCTTTTTGGTAGTTTCATTGTTCATTCTGACAACATCAATAAATTGGTTTTTTACAGAATAAGTATTGCAAACTAATAGAATGATCATATTGTAACACTTTTAATACAATAAGAATGTAATAAAAAAAATTATGATAAAACTTGAAGTGGTTACCAAACATGTTTTTTATTTTTATTTTCATAATTTAGTAAACATAAATGACTCTCAACCATGTTTTTTTTATCACAACCAAACGAGCCCTTAATCTTTAAAAATATAAAGTGAAAATTCTTATATTTTTTAGAGTTGCAAAGTAAAACTCCCCTAATGAACTATTAAGGCTTCGTCACACTTCCTCGTGCTTCCCCTAATGTTTCAGAGGAAGCCTTGATTGAGGCGCCATAACAGGGAGCCCTGATTGAGGCATCACCCTCGTAATGGGGAGCGGGGATGAATCCATAATGCCATGTGTAATGGGAGAGGTGGTAGAAGCTGGGAATGTGCATCCCAAAGACTGTGCTCCATATTCCCCTTCTAATATGAAGATCTCCATGTGCGCTAGTAATAAATTGGGTCTCCCAAGATAATGGGCTTAGGCTAGGCTAGGCTTGATCTGGGCCGAGCCCGCATCTGTAATCTAGGCCTAGTTTGGGCTAGGCCNGTGCGCTAGTAATAAATTGGGTCTCCCAGGATAATGGGCTTAGGCTAGGCTAGGCTTGATCTGGGCCGAGCCCGCATCTGTAATCTAGGCCTAGTTTGGGGTAGGGCCATCATTTACGATTTAGGTTGGGGCCATCATTTGCCCTCATATCCAAAATCCAATGGAATTTGGGGGAGAGGGTATCAACAAGAATTCATCCTTTTTTAGCAGCAAATATCTTTTTTAACATCAAATATCTAAGAGTTCTTTCGGCATGGTTCTCTTTTTAGCAGCAGATACCTAGGGGTTCTCTTTTAGCAACAAATACCTAGGGGTCCTCTTTTAGTAGCAGGGTTCTTATTTAGTAGTAACTAGCTTTAAATAGAGCTCCCCCATACTCATCTGAGAACAAAATAGAAAAATTGAGATGTCGAATGTGAGCAAAAGAGGAACAGAGGGTGCAAGAGGCAAGGAGTAAAGGCGTGGGGTGCCGAGACCCAGACGCCATGGGAAGCGCACTAGACAGAGGGGTATGTAGGCGCGGGCGCTTGGGGGCGCTAGGCAAGGCGCAAATGATGAGAGCAAAAGTAGAATAAGTCAAACTTTTGACGACTTGCGAAAGAGCTGCTAATTTGAAAGTTGAGACTGAGGTAGAATATGTCAAATTTTTGGCGACTCGCGAGAGAGATATTAAGTTAGAAGTTGAGACTAAGGCTGTTTGCGGCAGAGTTGCAGGTAACTCACAAGAGGGCTACCAAAGCTAAGGTAGAGTTGCGGGTAGCTCGTGAGAGGGTACTAGAGCTAAGATGGATTTGTAGATAGTTCATAAGAGGGATACCTGAGCAGAGGCTCACTCATAGGAGATGAAGAGGAGGAAAGAGGCTGCATAGAAGGATATCCATGACCTGCAAGATAGCACTGTGGACGCTTTTATTGATAACTACGAGGAGTTCAGGGGAAAAGCTTCGACGGCTTTTTCCAACATAAACTTCTCGGGATAAGGGACCAGGGGGGCATAAGGGGTGATGATGAAGGCGAGAATTCTGATGAGAATGGATCAAATAATAGTGAGGACGCCGATGAAAACCAAGGTCGCTAGAGTGTTAAAAGATGTTTGATAGATTTTGCCTTTTACCCTTTTGCTTTCCACTTCTTCTTTTTTTAGGTAGTGTTTCTGACATTTGTAGGAATGACTTTTGTTTCCAAACTTTTTGTGAAATAAAAAGCAAGACAATTTTTTGTGACGAATCTGCAAAGTTTATTTGATAACTATTTGTAATAAACAATAGTTTTTTTTTCTTGTATTTCTTGTATACTATGTGAATCTTGATTTTTAGGCATTTTGTATTTAACAAAAAAATTAAGTATCAAATATAAAATTGATATAAATAAATATTGATTTATTATTTTCCTTCTTTTGATTTTATTAAAAAAAATTATAATATTTAGTTTAGATCATGCATGTCTAAAAGAGTAAATATGAGTTTAACGATAATATGACGTTATCAATAATATATCATATTATCTATATTATGAAATATGACAGAGTTCAATAAATTCATCAAACGATCTTAAATAAGTTCATTTAACGATCATTATCATCTCTTAAAATTATTTCTATTGCAGAGTTACTTTCGGGCATGAGTTATTCTTATTCAACTAATAATAATGGCCATGACAAAAAAAAAAAAAAAACTAATAATAATGCGTTTATTGTGGTGATAATATCACCACGTGATTTCAAAACAACCGGTTCATCTCATACCCCAACCGACATATGGTTGAAGGGTCAATTCGGGAATGAAAAAAGTTCCACATGCGTGGCATACCAGCAACAGCACAGCACAGCTGCGTGCCGTACAATTGCCTCCGTATTAGGTTGTGGCACTTATTGATTCGTTTATTACATAGGCGACTGGAATAGTGTCCACAGGGTTTAATTCCACTAACCATCACCCTCACTCACCTTAGGTAAGGGCACAGCTTGTAATTTCATTATTTTCCCGGGGGCAAATACATGGCCAGTTTCATTTCTAATCAATATATTAATGGAGAATCAATTTAGGCCATTTAGACATATCTACAGACAATCTACTATAACACTGATAAAAAAAAGTGAGATAATAATTATTAACGGTAAGCTTAAGAATAGAGGTAGGCTAAAATTAGCTTCTAGTAGAATAGTAAAGAAAGACATGATAACTAAATGACCCTTGATAGAGCACAATAACAAAAAAAATTCATATAACCAAGCCAAAAAATATTGGGATAAACCTTGTTGAGTAGAGACATAACCAAATCCATTAAATCCTTTTCGTCAGCAATTAAACACATTATGACTATCCGTAATGTACCCTTTCTAATATAGTACCTCCACAACCTAATACGGAGGCAATTCAAAATAAAATAAAACTAAACTTAAAAATAACTTAAACATATGCACAAACATATCTAATTTGACAGNAAAAAAAAAAAAAACTAATAATAATGCGTTTATTGTGGTGATAATATCACCACGTGATTTCAAAACAACCGGTTCATCTCATACCCCAACCGACATATGGTTGAAGGGTCAATTCGGGAATGAAAAAAGTTCCACATGCGTGGCATACCAGCAACAGCACAGCACAGCTGCGTGCCGTACAATTGCCTCCGTATTAGGTTGTGGCACTTATTGATTCGTTTATTACATAGGCGACTGGAATAGTGTCCACAGGGTTTAATTCCACTAACCATCACCCTCACTCACCTTAGGTAAGGGCACAGCTTGTAATTTCATTATTTTCCCGGGGGCAAATACATGGCCAGTTTCATTTCTAATCAATATATTAATGGAGAATCAATTTAGGCCATTTAGACATATCTACAGACAATCTACTATAACACTGATAAAAAAAAGTGAGATAATAATTATTAACGGTAAGCTTAAGAATAGAGGTAGGCTAAAATTAGCTTCTAGTAGAATAGTAAAGAAAGACATGATAACTAAATGACCCTTGATAGAGCACAATAACAAAAAAAAATTCATATAACCAAGCCAAAAAATATTGGGATAAACCTTGTTGAGTAGAGACANGCACAATTTCTAATCTACACAAATTCGTGTCCATTAGATTTAACAAAAATATTAAATAAACAATTTCACATAAACTAGCAAATTGTAAGAACATAGTAGTACAATTAGGCTTCGTGGGTTGTGAGTGGAAATCACACTTCTTACAAATCGAAATTTTCATCATATCCCGGGAAAATCATTTCTATAGCTATAAGCACATCGATGATAGANCAACCAAATCCATTAAATCCTTTTCGTCAGCAATTAAACACATTATGACTATCCGTAATGTACCCTTTCTAATATAGTACCTCCACAACCTAATACGGAGGCAATTCAAAATAAAATAAAACTAAACTTAAAAATAACTTAAACATATGCACAAACATATCTAATTTGACAGACACCGTATACAAAACTGATACCAAAAAATGTCCAATACTATCTAATTGTATAACAATTCCGCACGCAACCAGGTTAGGTCCCGNCGTATACAAAACTGATACCAAAAAATGTCCAATACTATCTAATTGTATAACAATTCCGCATGCAACCAGGTTAGGTCCCGTGCACATATACTCCAAGATCCTGCCAAGCTACACTCACTACTCTGATGTCCTGCACCTGTTCATGAAGAAAGCTCCTAAACTTGTCCGANCGTGCACATATACTCCAAGATCCTGCCAAGCTACACTCACTACTCTGATGTCCTGCCCCTGTTCATGAAGAAAGCTCCAAAACTTGTCCAACAACCACAATATATAAACAGATCCTCAAAGGATTGAACTTTAGTCACCGCATCTAGAGGACAGATCTTCAATAGTGTATTGGGCTGTGTTCACACGCAAAATGAACATTTGGCAATGCATGCTGTTGGCAAGCTTGTCAAACCTTTGTGCAATTGCATGATAATTCCTGCCTTCAAACACCTCAATAAGCGACTTTATTGCTTTCAATATTACCTCTTTCTTTTGGTTCATCGTGGAATTATGTTCAGCCTCTGGCTCCTTCAGAGATGCGCATAGCACCTTAAGCCACTCCTCAAGAAATGATGCTTTCTATGAATAACAAAATGAAAATTGACCACACAACTTGAGGATAATTTCCTAAAAAAGAAAACAGACATCTAGACCATGCTTGACACTTCTAATCAAAAATTACATAATGCAATGAAGAATTTTTTTATTTTTTTTTATGCAGAGAAAAAAAGGCAAGTAATGTCAGAGGAACCATGTGTTGTGGCTTTACTCCAGCAGCAGCAGCAGTAGCAGCAGCAACAAATAATATGTTCATTGTAAATCATTGCCAGAAAAATATGTTCTCAAAAAAATCGACAAATATCGGAAGCTTACCTTGACAAGGAAATCTTGTATAGTTCGGTGACCACTTTTTGATGCAAGGCCAAGCACATGCAACATCGTTGTGGTTAGCTGTACAAGCAGATATATGAATTCAAAAAACAAATTGAAGTAAAATTAAATTTAAATAACAAAACCAGAAATGAAAAGTTAATGAGCACAATTTCTAATCTACACAAATTCGTGTCCATTAGATTTAACAAAAATATTAAATAAACAATTTCACATAAACTAGCAAATTGTAAGAACATAGTAGTACAATTAGGCTTCGTGGGTTGTGAGTGGAAATCACACTTCTTACAAATCGAAATTTTCATCATATCCCGGGAAAATCATTTCTATAGCTATAAGCACATCGATGATAGAACAAACATAGCCCCCTCTTAGCTAGTGAAGCCAAAAACAATCAGAAAGAAAATAAAATTTTCATCCCTTAATTTGGAAAGAAGCAACAAGAGGACTGTCCACGGTGTTAGATCTAGGACCATAGATTGGTAGTTTCATGACTTGTACTGTAGCTCTAGGTTGTACTATGGCGAAGACATCACGTGGAAAAGCAATGAATACGAGCCTCAAACTTGGAGATTTCTCTGCGCCACGAAGAGGACATAAGATATTCTACCAAACGCATTTCTGGAAGGCTGAAAATCACATTTAGTAGAGTGATTCCACCAAGGTGGTGGAAAATTGGATGAAGATTGGGTAGGCCGAACCCCTAAATATTGAGTGTTGCATGTTCCTTGTTGAATATCTTTATGAAGCATGTCTTGAATTGAGCAAATAATCGACTAATATTTGATGTATATGAGATAATGAGCTTAATTGATAACAAGTCATATGGATTAAATTGCAATCATACTTGAATAATGTTGTATAACATGTTTCCAAGTACACACTAGAGTTTGGTGCTTGTTAGGATTGACTGGGAATTGATTTAGAACAAAACAGAGGATTAAACTCAAAATATGGGGCTCCAAGAATCAAGCCAGTAGACCAGCCATAAACCTAGCTGACCAGGCCTCAGACCAGCTCGACCAAGCTTATACAGAACGGATGTTCTGCTCTGCACTTCATAGATCAAACTTTAGCAATTTGATAAATCCATCCCTCACACTAAAATGAATTGAGCTTATATGTCAAAGTGAGTGAATTGTACAAATGATCAAAACGCCCTTGATTTGAATCAATTTAGAAAAGAAGCAATGGACCTTACTCCAAGCAAAACAACAGAACTTCCAAAAGTTCACAATTTTATAGTGGTCCTATTCAAGTCCCCCCCCAAAAAAAAAAAAAAAAAAACACACACACACACACACAAGAAACCCAACTCAATAGGACAGTTATTTACCCAAAGACTACTAGGGTAATAACTACAAGACATCCCTAAACATGCTTTCAAGGCTAAAAAGACCATCTGAATGTTCGCAAAANCTACTCTGATGTCCTGCCCCTGTTCATGAAGAAAGCTCCAAAACTTGTCCAACAACCACAATATATAAACAGATCCTCAAAGGATTGAACTTTAGTCACCGCATCTAGAGGACAGATCTTCAATAGTGTATTGGGCTGTGTTCACACGCAAAATGAACATTTGGCAATGCATGCTGTTGGCAAGCTTGTCAAACCTTTGTGCAATTGCATGATAATTCCTGCCTTCAAACACCTCAATAAGCGACTTTATTGCTTTCAATATTACCTCTTTCTTTTGGTTCATCGTGGAATTATGTTCAGCCTCTGGCTCCTTCAGAGATGCGCATAGCACCTTAAGCCACTCCTCAAGAAATGATGCTTTCTATGAATAACAAAATGAAAATTGACCACACAACTTGAGGATAATTTCCTAAAAAAGAAAACAGACATCTAGACCATGCTTGACACTTCTAATCAAAAATTACATAATGCAATGAAGAATTTTTTTATTTTTTTTTATGCAGAGAAAAAAAGGCAAGTAATGTCAGAGGAACCATGTGTTGTGGCTTTACTCCAGCAGCAGCAGCAGTAGCAGCAGCAACAAATAATATGTTCATTGTAAATCATTGCCAGAAAAATATGTTCTCAAAAAAATCGACAAATATCGGAAGCTTACCTTGACAAGGAAATCTTGTATAGTTCGGTGACCACTTTTTGATGCAAGGCCAAGCACATGCAACATCGTTGTGGTTAGCTGTACAAGCAGATATATGAATTCAAAAAACAAATTGAAGTAAAATTAAATTTAAATAACAAAACCAGAAATGAAAAGTTAATGAGCACAATTTCTAATCTACACAAATTCGTGTCCATTAGATTTAACAAAAATATTAAATAAACAATTTCACATAAACTAGCAAATTGTAAGAACATAGTAGTACAATTAGGCTTCGTGGGTTGTGAGTGGAAATCACACTTCTTACAAATCGAAATTTTCATCATATCCCGGGAAAATCATTTCTATAGCTATAAGCACATCGATGATAGAACAAACATAGCCCCCTCTTAGCTAGTGAAGCCAAAAACAATCAGAAAGAAAATAAAATTTTCATCCCTTAATTTGGAAAGAAGCAACAAGAGGACTGTCCACGGTGTTAGATCTAGGACCATAGATTGGTAGTTTCATGACTTGTACTGTAGCTCTAGGTTGTACTATGGCGAAGACATCACGTGGAAAAGCAATGAATACGAGCCTCAAACTTGGAGATTTCTCTGCGCCACGAAGAGGACATAAGATATTCTACCAAACGCATTTCTGGAAGGCTGAAAATCACATTTAGTAGAGTGATTCCACCAAGGTGGTGGAAAATTGGATGAAGATTGGGTAGGCCGAACCCCTAAATATTGAGTGTTGCATGTTCCTTGTTGAATATCTTTATGAAGCATGTCTTGAATTGAGCAAATAATCGACTAATATTTGATGTATATGAGATAATGAGCTTAATTGATAACAAGTCATATGGATTAAATTGCAATCATACTTGAATAATGTTGTATAACATGTTTCCAAGTACACACTAGAGTTTGGTGCTTGTTAGGATTGACTGGGAATTGATTTAGAACAAAACAGAGGATTAAACTCAAAATATGGGGCTCCAAGAATCAAGCCAGTAGACCAGCCATAAACCTAGCTGACCAGGCCTCAGACCTGCTCGACCAAGCTTATACAGAACGGATGTTCTGCTCTGCACTTCATAGATCAAACTTTAGCAATTTGATAAATCCATCCCTCACACTAAAATGAATTGAGCTTATATGTCAAAGTGAGTGAATTGTACAAATGATCAAAACGCCCTTGATTTGAATCAATTTAGAAAAGAAGCAATGGACCTTACTCCAAGCAAAACAACAGAACTTCCAAAAGTTCACAATTTTATAGTGGTCCTATTCAAGTCCCCCCCCAAAAAAAAAAAAAAAAAAACACACACACACACACACAAGAAACCCAACTCAATAGGACAGTTATTTACCCAAAGACTACTAGGGTAATAACTACAAGACATCCCTAAACATGCTTTCAAGGCTAAAAAGACCATCTGAATGTTCGCAAAAAACAAAAAAATTTCAGCTCAAGTATAACGTGTGCATACTATATGGGGACATCTATGTTCTTTATTNAAAACAAAAAAATTTCAGCTCAAGTATAACGTGTGCATACTATATGGGGACATCTAAGTTCTTTCGTAGTTACTGTGTTCATGCAAAGTCCTAATAAGAATCAACTCAACAAAGCCTTATCCCAATAATTTTGGTGTTGGATAAAAATCCACATAAGACTAGTTCATGGAATTTCTCAAACACAAGTGTTTGACTAATTTATGGAACGCTCAAGAGTTTGACCTGTTTCTCGAGAGCCACCCTGTATTGAAAACTAGACGGTGTTGAAATCTGATCTGAACTTAGGTTCTCAAGTACATTCTCTACCCCTTGAATAACATCTGAAAACGATTGCCCATAATCTGCATCAGACAAGATGAGTCTCAACACAATGATCCAAGAGGAAACCTGATGGTATAACATGTACGGTAATTAATGCAAATAAAAACAAAAGATATACATCATTTTGATGCAACAACAACAGCTAGTGTGGTGGATCACATACTATATAACAACTTGAATTAGTAATGCAAAAATAAGATAAGCGGCTACTCTTTTGTACTTAAAATACTTTATGAATTGGTCAATTTTGCACAAGATCTTGACATTTTTGGCTCAAAAATATGGATTTTCAAAGACATTCCTGATATCTGCTAACCATAATTTGACTGTATAACAACAGGTGATTCCTCCAATGCATCTAGTGGAATCAGCAGAAACTATTCATTGATTTTTTGAAGAATGAAATGTCTAAAATAAGATGATAATCATGATGCCTACAAGAAATTATAACATTTTCAACAGCATTCCAGAATACTGCGGGTAGAAATAACAACTAAATGATATGATTTTTATGTAAATAAAAAAATGATAACATGGTGAGTGCTTAGTCTGAAGTGGGGTTCCATGTATGTATTCTTCTCAAATTCAAAAAATAAAAAATAAAAAAGTTACACTTCTTTTTTTGGTTGTTGCTCTTCAATTGTGATCACTAATAAATTATGGCAATAAATGCATGTATATCTGTGGTAGAGATATGGGTGCACGCCTTGGTAACAACGATGTTGAAGTTAGAGAAAGATTATACACACATACATGTGTGCATATACAAATATAATACAAAGATTCATACCTATATCCATATGTGCCTATATAATATAATGCATGAATAAAATATACTCGATCCGTTTAAATTTTTATATATTTATCCTTTTGTCTTACCTGTTGAAATGGTTATTCTTGAGAGCCAATGGATGGGAAGGGTGTAGAAAGAACAAATGAGAATGAAGATGAGGAACCCATTCTTTTCATTTTTCACCAGCTTTTACTTCCCTAAATTTTGTTCTCAATTTCATTTTTGTATGAAAAGTGTTGTTACTACATCATTTTGGTTTTCTGCATTCAAAATTAAGTTGACAAACCATAGCCGCTTGGTTCGACTTCCCAAATTTAGTTTTGTTCAAATATAATCTTTGGGATTTTTGGTTTACATCTCCACACATTAATCACTGAACTATCAAGGACACCTCAATTCGACTCAACCAAGTATGCTTGGAATGAACACGCAGACTCTGAAACATTAAATTTGGAAATATCAACTACAAAAATTTTGAAGTTAAAACAAATTTAAAATATCCTGAAGAGAAAAGGAAGTACAGGGCCATTTTAGCTTTTAATAAATAAGCTGTGCCAAATAAATATCTGCTGCAGCCATAGAAATGACAGAAAGCAAGCAACATGAATGAAGGCAGGGGCCACCATGGGCAGAACTACAAGTCAATACATATTGTGAAGATATGATTCAAGTAGAGGGCACCACAAAGATGACATAAAAACTAAAAGGCATGTCAACAAATGAAAGACAAAGCTTAATGGTATGGAAAAAGAATCATTTTGTTCTTATTGAGGCAATCAAATGCAAAATCACTCTCAACCATAATTAACTAGAGAAGGATCAAGTGTGCTATTCACCAATTATTGTTGCCGGAACAGACAAAGCAGCAGCAGCCTGAATCCTGATCTTGAAGTTGGAAGAATCACGAAGTAGTAGTAAAAGAATACTAAAAACGGATGGAGCCCTGAAAATTTGAGCATGTGAACTATCTTAGAATTGAATATTTGTCAATTGCTTTAGAAGAGAAACAAATACACACATCCATTCTCTTTAATATATAAGCATAGGTGTTGCAAATTAAGGCCAGCCACAGAATGAAAAATAATCACATGCATGCTAAACTGTAAACAACATCTAGACTCTTGATCAAAATTGTGAGACCCTGTCATTCATCACACTGCATTTAAATAATATTGGAGGTCAAAATATAATTTCGGAAGTTGGTTAGAAGATGTTAAGTGGTAAGTTAAAAGTATTAAAGTTTTGTTGGAAAAAAAAATTTGATTAAGTGATACCGAGTTAAATTGCAACAATCAAACTATAATGCGTTAATTTGAGGTTGCAACAAAATTTTGATCCTTGACTATGAGATGTTTATGATGGATCAAATGAGAGGAATGAAATAAAAATATATATATTAAAATTTAATTTTCAGATTTTATGGTATTTAAGGAAATGTCATTGCATAGCAGCCACCTCCAAGCAGCTTCTTGTCCAGGTTGGGGCTTCTCCATCTCTCCTTATCTGTCTAGAATGCTTGCGGAGGTGGTGAAGGCTTGGATATGTTAGAATCATCAAGAAGAGAGAGAAAGAGAGGAGAGAAGGTAGAGAGAGAAAGCGAAAGCTTAGTGAATCAAACTTCGGGAGAATGGAATTCGAGCATCAAGGGGTAATTTTATAACTTAAATAAGGTACTAGGAGTTCATTTATGATGATTAAAATGAGTTTTGATCATTGTTTGAGCATCAATTTTCATTTTAAAATTTTCGGGTTTTAGTTGATATAGAAATGGGTTGGAATTTTGGTTTGGTTTAGCTTAAATTGAGGTTTGAGAATGGTTTCTGGGTGTTTAATATGAAGTTTGGTGGCGTTTGGAGTGGTTGCCGTGGTTGCCGTGGTCGGTGGTGGTGGTTCAAAGAAGAGGAAGTTCATGGTGAGGGTTTAAGTTTCTTGAAAATTAAAGCTTTAAATCCTAAGTTTTAAAACGTAAGGGGTATTGGGTTAGGCTAAAACCAACCCTAGGAATCCATTGGTAATCTCAAAAACTGATTTAGAGTTTGTTTGGTGGGTGAAAAAGGCAGTTGTAGCGTTGCAGGTCTGACCCCAAGTTGGAAAACCTTATTTTTTTCAAAGTTTGGTTCAATATTTGGAAGGGTTAAAGTTTGATTTGAAAGGGCTCACCTATGGGGATCTGAAGAGGCCAATGAGGAGAGTATATAGGCTCTGAAAACAGGTCTAAAGGTGTTCTATAAAGTGAGTTATAGGGGTGAGAAGAGAGGGTCTTGAAACAGAATTTTAACACTTACGGTTTCTTGAGGGAAGAAGATGAAGTGGACCAAGAGGACCACTGGACACCCCGATAGCGATTGAGGGCGCTTTTGGTATCCGATTGACCTTTAGTCAGTGCCAAAAGTTCCGTAACATCTGTGCAAAGGTCTCAGTGAAATTTCAAGCTGATCCACGACTAGATCAAGATAAGGAGTAAAACGACTGTTTTAGCCTCCGGAGTTGTTCGGGATGATATTTGAAAATAAATTTTATATTCATTCTTAGGTAGGTTAATTGAGTAAACATCATTTTATTTTTGGCTATCTCGGATCAAAAAGCAGCGCAGGGTAGGATTTCTAAATTTTGGCTCAGTCGAAACTTTTCAAATTCATTTTAAAATCATGTCTTACATTATGTATGAATGTTTAGCATATTTTAAAACTTATGATTGGGTTTTTGAATTTGGGCTGAAAATCATAGATCCAAATTAGGTTTTGAGTGCAGTAACGCACAGTAGTCCGAAACGATGGATTTGATTGTATAAAATGAGATACTAAAATATTTTTAAACTAATTGTAAGTGCACATAGATTGAGTGAAGAAAAGGGTTTACGTTCTAATTTGAGGTTATAGAGGGTACTCATTGAGTTTGTAAACACTTTAGTGGCCAGTTGGTCTCCAAACTTGGGTGCTAAAGTTAAGTTGTGGTGAATACGAAACGTCACGAAGTCTATTCATATGCATAAATTAAGTTATTTTTGAGTCAATACTTATTTGAATTTGTGCATATGCAAATTGTTAAACTCGAAGGCTATTACATTAGTTCCACTTGGGGATCGAGCATAAAACAAAGTAGTGTGATCGTTGGCTATAACAGGTGAAGTATATTGCTTCATAATAATTGGAAATAAAAGTACATGACTAATATAAGTTATTTTCACTATGTGAAATGAAGTTTTAATGACTTGCTTTATGTTGAGTTGAGCAAATAATGGATCAAAAATATTTTTGTTGAAAAACTTGTGATTCGAGTAGTATCCACTATGCTAGAATTGTTATATAACTTGACATAACTTACATGTTGATTTGGACACTACGCAATTGTCGTGAAATAGCTTAACATTGCTTAAATGTTGTAAATAGCTTGACATTGCTTAAATATTGTTAATAGTTTAAAATTGCTTAAATGTTGTTGTTGGCTCAAAGCACATATGGACTATTTATTATGTTGATATTTTGACAGTAATTTAAGATTATAAAGTAGGTTGAAACACTTTGCTTTTGTTGTTCTGATTAGATTGTGAACATATTTTGGTAAAATAATATTTAATCCATATTTTCAATATTTTCATTTATCATGATACACACAGTACATTAAAAAAATATTTGGTTTCAGGAAGCTGAAGTTTAGAGTGGGTCCACTACAGCTCTAGCAGAGTCAAGATAGAAGGTTAAGGAAACTGGTTGTGTACATATTGTACAAGAGTGTCCATTTCCATATCGACGTAAAGGATGAATTTCTAATGTTTTGTGTTGTATTGAGTTACAGAGTTGTGTACTCTATCATAGCGTTATATGATTTATCTCTTTTATGAGATCATTGGTTGATATTATTGGTTTTAAATGTTTCCTTGCATTACAGGCATAGGTGTTATCACGTGTTGAGTTGTATTTCCATCTTTGGGATATCAAATAGGTCTTTCGGGATGAGGTGTGACATAAATAGTCATCAGAAAGCTATAGCTCGCCTCAATATCTTCAAACAGTAATTACTAGGTAATCCATGACAAAGAAAAAAATGCTGCAAATAACCATGCACCCACATCTCTAAAGAAAACAAATGTATAGTTGTATACCAGGCAGCCAACAAACGACACAAACTACTTGAGAAAAGTTGTGATGTATAAAATCAAAATTAATATTGTTTAGGGGCTGTGAACAGTACCCGAGAACAATAACAAGGGTGTGAACAGAGACTNAAGAAAAAAATGCTGCAAATAACCATGCACCCACATCTCTAAAGAAAACAAATGTATAGTTGTATACCAGGCAGCCAACAAACGACACATAAACTACTTGGGAAAAGTTGTGATGTATAAAATCAAAATTAATATTGTTTAGGGGCTGTGAACAGTACCCGAGAACAATAACAAGGATGTGAACAGAGATTNATTTGAAGAATGACCTTCCCAGAGTTTGATGGAGCACAGATTCATTCAAAATTTCATAATGGCTGGGGGTCCATTTGTAAATATCTGACCAAACAAGATAATGAACCGCTTGTATGGGGAGAATTTCACTTAGAAAAAAGAAAGGAAACAGCTGAGGCTAGTAGAAACCACAAAAATACTAACCTAGTACCCCAAGAACAAATCATAGAGAGGATAAAAAAGTGCTATGATTGGTATCAAGTGTATAACGATGAAGTATTAACTAAGCTCACCTTACATTCGTATTCGAACCTTAGAAATGTCTATGAAGACCTCAAAGTCGTACACGATATGCGAACAACTATAGGAGAGATCTTTTTTTCTTCTATGGTATGGAAAAACACGGGCAACCAAAAGAATATGAGATAGAGGAACTCCAAGAGAAATACTTATTACTAGATTGGATCGCTTGTCAAATATGTTTTCAAAGATCGATAAAGACAAAATAGCTTACTGAGAAAAAATTCTCAATATCATTCAATAATTCAAGTCTACCTAAAAATGCTAACATCAGCCCCTTTATATAGGGAACTCAAAACCCTAAAATCAAAAATTCCTAATCAAACTCTACTACTAAAAGATAAATTAGAATAATACCCAAAAAAACAAAAAATCTCAATATAAATCATTATCATTTATCCAATTCTAACTTGATCCTCATCATTCTCTCCCGGTTGAGAAACACTCATCCAGAGAATTAATCAAATCAAACGTACTCCAAAAGAGTGGAATGAAGATAGAAGAACTCCTCTATAATGAAACATGCATCAACATTTTTCCATCAATCAAGATAAAGGTAACAATCTCTCTCCAAACACTAAAAAGCTGAAAACAAACTCCATCTAAAACATTGAAATCTAGTCATGTACCACATTATCTATCTACCTTGAAATATGAGATTGAAGTGGAGAGCTAAGAATCAAAAATAGTGTTGAAGAAAAAACAATTCCACCTATAGGAACACCAACTAATAAAATAGGAGGCTTTAGAGTGCCTTGATTAAGTAGCTTAAAGTCTTCCAGACTCGAGAATAGCTAAATGATTCCAATTAGATTTCAATATGGAATGCTCATATTGACATGAAATCAANAAAAAACAATTCCACCTATAGGAACACCAACTAATAAAATAGGAGGCTTTAGAGTGTCTTGATTAAGTAGCTTAAAGTCTTCCAGACTCGAGAATAGCTAAATGATTCCAATTAGATTTCAGTATGGAATGCTCATATTGACATGAAATCAAAGGCAACGATGAAACAATAAACAGTTGATGACGAAAAAAAATCAAATATAAACTCAATTGAACACTTTAGGTCAGGTAATGAACCATATTCACGAAATCTTATAAGAATTCTCATCAGTGGACAGAGTGATAGGACAAACAAAAATAGATTCTAAAATGGGTAACTTTGNCGTGGTTGCCGTGGTCGGTGGTGGTGGTTCAAAGAAGAGGAAGTTCATGGTGAGGGTTTAAGTTTCTTGAAAATTAAAGCTTTAAATCCTAAGTTTTAAAACGTAAGNTATAAGAATTCTCATCAGTGGACAGAGTGATAGGACAAACAAAAATAG